TATACGTTGTTGTCAGGTAGTGGTGGTGCATGCTTTAATCCCAGCACTCGGGTGGATCTTTGTGAGTTTGGGGCCAGCCTGGTCTACAGAGCAAGTTCCAGGACAGCCAGGGATACACAAAGAAACCCTGTCTCAAAAAACATATATATATATATATATATATATATATATATATATATATATATATATATATATATATATATATTCATATATATATTGGTCCTGAGCATATATACATATATAAGAATATGTATATATATACACACACACATATATATACACATTGTGATCATATTGTTTCTAAAGTCTTACAACAGGTAATTAATTTGCTTAAAGTAAAATGAAATTGATGACCCAAAAAGTATTTTTTTTTATTATTAATTGTTTGGGTTTATTTCTGGAAAACTACACACACACACACACACACACACACACACACACACACACGTAGTACATATATATATATATATATATATATATATATATATATATATATATATATATCATGTACACTTACATACTAGGTAGATGTGTATAAAGTTAGTTATTATGTTATTTTAACTAAGCAAGGACTTTTCCTTTATCTTTTTGGTGCTTATGTTTCCTTTATCTTTTTTCATGTGTAGCCTTAGTTTTGGTTTTAAGGAAGGGCTGCTCTAGCCACTGAGCACAGGCTCTAGAATTTCCCTGCTAAGAAGAGTGAGGCAGCAGTTTTGCATCTTGCTAATTTTTTTAACTGGACTGTTTTACAAGCTAATTTCAAGAAGTATGTTATTGAAATATAGCAAATATTTTAGAAAAGGGCTGGGACTTGTAACACGTGTAAATTCTTATGTTTGATTACTACCAAACCAAGTAAGTTGTCAGTCTCACCACAGACAGACCTAATTTCAAGCATTTGATCCCAAGTGTAAACTGCTTTCTTGAATGAGCCTGGGAAATAAGCCTGAAGTGTTAATACTTAAACAGTTTGTCTCTTGACTCCATTTCATTATAGAAATGTTAATTTTGATGTGTTTGTAGGTGAGAAACTTATCGTATGATATTCACCAAATCTGATCCTGCCTCTTTCTACAGATGGCTCAGAAGAAAACAGATAGAAAAAATCGCAGAGCAACAGGCTGTCAAAGAGAGAGCCAGGCAGCTCCGACTGGAAGCACGGCGTTCCAAACAGCTACAGAACAACCTGTACAACATGCCAGATGCCAAATCTTTCCGCTTCACCGACCACTACAACTGAAGCTGTCCGGGAAAGCCTTCACTTGAAGATGCTGTCACCAGAGTTTTGGATGTCATTTCTGATGGACCCAGTGTCTTGATAATACTAAATTATGGAGTGGGATTTGTCTTTTGGTAATGCTGACGGTGAATCTATATTGTCTTCACACTAACACAAAATAAACGTCTCTCATGGTGTTGATTATGTTGTGCTGTCTTATAGTCTGTTCAACAAACTGAACAACGAAGGAATTCTGTGCTCTGCCCCTAAATTGTGTTAATATTTCTACTCAGAAAGCCAGATGAAAGGCATACTTTTCTATTTATAGTTCCTATGGTCATTTAAAGTATTGCAAAAGGGACAGCAAGATGGCCGTGGATAAAGGCACTTGCCACCAAGTCTGATGACCTGAGGTCAATCCCTGGGCTCCACACGGTGGAAAGAGAACTAGCGCCTACAAGCTGTCCTCTGACCACGCACACAGTGGAAAACACATCCCACATCCCGACCACAAAATAAATAAATGTAATAAACATTTAAATCTTTCAGTAGAGCAAGTCATAAGGCTTAAAGAATGACTTAAGTCTCTAACAAGGCTTTATACAAAATTCTCTTTGTCAAAGTTGAATTTGTAGTGGTGGTGACCTAAACAGTGCGGAGTATCACCTGTTAGTACCATAGAAAGATATCTTTTCTACACTGAATTCTATTTTGTGCATAAAATATGCCTAATAGTGTTTTAGGTATGTTTTAAAAATCATTGTAAATGCTTTACATAATACAAGCCTATGACTTCCATATGTCTAATGCGTGTGTGTGCATTCATTTACATAAACTCTTAATGTGTATTTTACAAGAACTGGAAAATGCAGAGAGAATAGAATGGTTTATTCCTGTATCTACTTGATTGTTAGTTTGTTTTTGTAATATGGGATTTATGTAGCCTAGGTCCACCTTGAACTTAGAATCCTCCTGCCTCTGCCTCAAGTGCTGGTGTTACAGGTATGGACCACTATGCCTTGTGTCTATCTCAACTTTTGTACCACATCAAGCCATCTTACATTTCATTACAATTGGTTTTGACATCCACGTGCATATTGTGCAATGCTTAATATAGGATTGTGATATGACTTAGAGGCAAACTGAATGCAGATGATGCATGGTACCCAAGTACTTGACTCATGAGTAAAGATACTTGTGAAAAAATCCAAAGTCCTACCTGTCTCCATCTGGAGTAATTATTTTACTTAATTTTTAAGGAAATGAAATATTTCATTTTAGGAAGAAATGGGAAAAGCCTTAGGGTTGGGTTTGGGAGCAGGAGGAAGCAGGGTTTTAGAACGGAACATTAAGTAATATTTCTAAATGCTAAAAATACTACTATATGATAGTATAGAAGTATTGTAATGTACAAGGTTAGCTGGGAAAGTAAGGCAAAAAAAAAAAAAAAGATTGGTGGCCCCCAATTTTTCCTCTATGTAACTTATTTTTTTAAACCATAGTTCAGCAGCATTTAGTGTATTCATATATAGCCCCAATTCTATGTAGCTCCAAAATGCTTCTATCACTCCTAGTAGCCCATCCCTGTGACCAGCCACTTTCAAGGCCTCTTGCCCCACACTTCCTCTGTGCAGATACCATGTGCTTTCTGATTTGCCTATTCTAGAAATTTTACATAGTTAAAAACACGATCTTTTACGTGTGACTTCTTCCACTTAGCATAGTGCTTTGGAAGCTTATCCACAATACAGCATGCATCAGTATTTAATTCCTTTTTATGGGAGAAAACATGTAACACATGTACAGCATTTTTGCTCATTCACTCATCACTTGGGGCATTTCCATCTTTTGGGTGTGGGGAGTCGTGATGTTGCAAGCATCACATGTATACAACTACTTAAGTCTGTGTTTTCTCTTGGATGTGCTTGGATCTGCTGCAGACAAGATGCAGTGTAGAGAACACTTATACAGTTTGTCAGTTCCCCACAGCAGACACACCATTTTACACAGTCAAGGAGAGCCCAATTTCTACGTAGTCTCTCAGATACTTAACAGATTTGCATAGTCCTAATAAACAACTATGTGTGGTTGTTGGCCATTTGTGAATCATCTTTGGGGAAATAAGTCATTGCACTATTTAAATTTTTAGTGAATTTTTTAACGTATCCATTGATACCGTATATACAATGTGTTTTGATCATGTCTACCTTCCATCCAATCCCTTCAACTCATCCTGTACCTGGCTTCACTACATCCCCTTCCAACTTTATGGACTTTTTCACTTCTTATTATCAGAAAGATATACAGGAATCCAATAGGAGTCACTTTGTAATATTTTTCCACTCACTTATTATTGGAAAATATAGGTATTGTTTAAGGTTTTTTTTTTGTTTTGTTTTGTTTTTCGGGACAGGGTTTCTCTGTGTAGCTTTGCGCCTTTCCTGGAGCTCGCTCTGTAGACCAGGCTGGCCTTGAACTCACAGAGATCCGCCTGGCTCTGCCTCCTGAGTGCTGGGATTAAAGGCGGGCGCCACCACCTCCCAGCTTGTTTAAGTTTTTAAATGCCCCTCCCTGCTCTTCTCTAGACCCTGGTACCAGTATTTGTCCTTTTGTATGTAACCTACTTCATGTAACATTTATCTAAATTGTAGCATGTATTCCTTATCATATAGATGATTTTATTTACTTAACCACTGACTGATGTTAAGATTATATCTAACTTTTGACAATCATGAACAATACTACTACAAAAACTGGTATACAAGAGTCTATGACAACCTCGAAGTTCTCTTGGCTATCCACCTAGGAGAATGATGGGCCAGGCCACATAGTGGTTGGTTTTTTGTTTGTTTTTTCAGGAACTTCCATGCTTTCTTCAATGGCTGCTGCATTTTACACTCCTACTGGTGAGGTGCAGCGGCTCCAGGTCTCTTCAGATTTGCCTACAATTTCTCTTGCTTTTTTGTTAATAGCCATCCTACTATTTTGTTAATCGTTATCTTCATGAAAATGGTAACAACTACATTTCACTCAGTACTGATGTTGACAATCTTCTGATGTGCTTATTTGCTATTTGTATGTATATACAAATATATATGTGTATTTTAGGTAACTTTAAATAATTTTCTCATTTTTTGCAAGTGTGTGTGGTACATTGTACATTGGAGTGTGTGCACATGTCAGTAAAGGAGAAGCTTATGTATTGGGTGTCTTCCTTTATCACTTTCCACCTTAATGTTTGAGGCAGGATTTCTCACTTAGCCTGGCGCTCATCAATTCCGCTGAAGTGACTACTGCTCCATGTGTGCTGGGGTTACAGATGTGCACCGCTGCACCGTGTTTCATGTTAAGTGCTGGCAATCTGGACGTGGGTTCTCATGGTCGTGTGGCAATGTTCTACAGACTGCGGCATCTCTCCAGCCTCTGCCCCCTTCTCACTGGGCAGGTTTTTTGGTTGTTGAAGTTCTTTGTATCTTCTGGCCACTTCTCAGATGTATAATTTGTTCTTTTTTTTTTTCTCTCCAATTCTTAGAGCTACCATGTACCTCAATGCATGAAGGTTTTTAACTTTGGGGAAATTTATTTTTTCATTTCTTGTGCTTTTGTTGTTATACCCAAGAAATCACAGTCAAAGCTGATGTCATGAAAATTTCCACTTTGTTCTAAGAAGTTTATATTATGCAAACAGAAAAGAAAAGGCAACAAAACAGCTGTAAACAGTGAAAGCCACATGAAGACTGGAGTCAAAGTCCATTATTCTGGAAGGAGAAAGGACTAACCATCAGAAGGAAATAGAGAAATTTATTGCCATTGAAAGCTATAAATACGGCTCAGATGAGTCAGACAAAAAGTAGTAGGTTTGACACTAAAGTATAATTTGATTTGGCCAGATTTGCCTTCTCTGATAACTTTTAAAATTCAGTATATTTTTTGATGACAGATTTTTGTGAATATTTAAAGGTCAATAAAAGGGCATCTTATGATACATTATACAATAATATATTCTGTAATATCTGTAAATTAATAGATTACATTTTCCCCAGAAACTCATTTTCCATCATTATATTATCAAACTAGATATTCCTGTTGCAGACACTGCATGTGCCAACGTGAGTCAGTAATTATGAATCTGTTTCCTCCAGGTTGTCCAACTGCAACCATGCAGAAGACAGAGCACTTTGCAAAAAACAACAGCACGGGACACTTTTGCTGAACTATTGGTTGTAGTTCTGAAATACCTTTTTATTTTCCTAATATATTTGTTTAGAAAGATTAATGCCTTTATCCCAGAGTTTCTGAAGGCCTCTTTTATGGCCCAAATGTGACCACAAAGGAAATGAAAATCCCTTTTTCCTATACTCCAGCTATTAACTAGCCAACATGCTCTATGAGGGACTGGCCTTTGCTAGCCCCACACTGCACTTGGCCGCTGTGCAGGAATGCAGCTTTGGCAACAAGGAAGGGATGGGCATGGCCACATCCCACGCATGTTGTAGTTTGCCTGGTTTTGTTTTATGCACCAAAATGAAACCTGTTTATAGTTCATATAAATATATCTACATAGTTTCATTTTTTTCTTACCCTGAGACATTTCTTAAGAAAAATAATCTGGAATCCAGCACATGAAATATCTTTGTGGATATATATTATATAAAGATGATTTTATTTCTAGCATCATAAGAAACCCAGCTCCCAAATAATGAATCTTGGGTACTCAGCACACCTCAAGTACATTATACATTAAAGAGCAATGAGTTCTCCCTTGCAATGATTGCAGCAATTGAAAGTTATATTTTCATATCTGGTATAGGGATGGAAACGTCCAATATTTTTCTTTGTAGTGAGTAATGTAGGGGGTGAAGATTCAGAAAATGGGTTGTCCGGTGAGCTTTCTGTACAGGTAACTGGATCCAAAATCCGTAGAACCTAAGGCAAAGAAGCCATGTCAGATGTTAGCAGCATGTACCATAAAGCCTTGGGTTTCACTAGTACCTAACTACCTATGACAATTCATTTTGTTTTATGTGCTATCATCAAAAATAACATCGGAATGAATTTGAATTTCTCCTTCTTCCAAAACACTGTAAATTCAGCAATGATGCCTAGTTATGACATTAACCACCTTTATTTTAGTAACTATGAAACCAATACTCTTTCGCAGACATCTACAGAAGGAATAAAAACAGAAAAATGGAGCTCTATGAGTTCTACCTCATATGATAGCAGTTTTCAGTTTTACCCCAGAAGCACCCACTGACTCTCTCCTCTTTTTCATTCAGTTCTTTAGAGTAAGGATCTGACCACCAGTCTTCTTGGAAATGCTGCTTTTACTTATGGGAAAACAAATGGCCCTTCATGTCTCCTTTTAAAAATTATATATAATATTTTATGCTAATAACTATGTTCACACTACTTTGTTCTCTCATTTCTTCCTCGGTCCTGGCTCTTCCTGTTTACTCTACTGAGATTCAAAACAGGTGGTCTTGGGCTGAAAAACAAAGTCCAATTAAGGACAAGGGTGGCCTTTTTGGTCCACAACTCCTATTCTCAAACTCATCATGACATAAACAGAGTTATGTTTCAAAGGAGGTAGGCTCGGCAATTGGCTCTGTCTCCCTTTGCTACAGTCGGGGCTTATTCAAAGGCGCTCTTGGCCTTGCTTCCCTGCTCTCACTGCCTGGACACTTCCCTCTTCCAAGTTAACAGCATATTCAAGACACCGTAGCTCCTGTTTAAAGCATCTTGGCATCACATAAGAGCTACCACGCTACTTTAGGACTTCCACTTGTTAACTACACTCTACTTTTAAAATTCAGCTTTTAGACCTTTTATTTTGATGGAACTAAGTTAAATGTTAGATGACAAGCAAAGACAGAAGGAGTAATGTTGCTTATAAACTTTGCGAGGAAAAGAACAGTTTCTAAGTAGGGCACATGCTATGACATTATGGGTCTTTAAAGTGAAAAATCAAATGCTAAGGGAATTCAGTAGGAGACTGAGATATGGCAGAAAGCCTTCTACATTTTAGCCTTGAGATGACAGGGCTGGATCTGAAGCCTTGCAGAGATCTGCGGCACAGCATGGAGGGAAGAAATGGGAGGGCATTAAAGCCGACAAAGGAAGAGTGGGGACGAAGTTACTGCATTGATCTCTGAGAGGACAGCTCCTGAAGCAATGGGGTGGAAGGTCACGAGGCACGCGAAGAGAAGGGCTGTCGGTCTTGTTACTTGAGGGAATGTGGCAGGGGAAAGAAGAATGAGCAGCTCTAGAGCAGGCCTGGAGCATACCCACCACTGCACAATGAAGCAGAGGGCAGAGAAGACAGGATGGCGGACATTAGTCAGGAAACCAAGGCAAGAGAAGTTTCGTGAACGAGGGAAAAGCCAGCTACGCTCCAAGATACCGACAGCAGCTGAGTACATGTGACATAACCTCCCAGCAAAGAAATAGCAGGAAGAACAAACAAGGCTTTGAGTAGTTTACTTTTTAGGCACTGATCCTTTTAGTAAGTAGCTGAGCACCGACTACGGGCAACATCATACCAGTCCATGAGGAAACATAGTAAGACATGCTTTCCAGTCTTTAAGTAGTTTTAGAGAGAGAATCACACAATAACAACATGACACAAGAGCTATCTCGATATGCATACAAAGCACACTGGACGTTGGACACTAAGAACGACGACAGAAAATCGTTTAGGCAGGTGGAAGAGCGTGCATTAGAAAGAGGCATGAGAAAAAGAGTCCCTCTGTGAATGAGAAGGGAGGAAGGCTGCGAGAGGAGGAAGTGGGACTTGGGGAGTGACTCCTGGAAAGGGGGATGGAAACACTGCGATCAGCCGTCTATGCTCTAGGAAAGAATTCAGTCAAGGAGGCAGGACTGGGAGCTGTCTGATGACTGCATTGACATTTGCAAGACAACAGAGGATGGACGGCCTAGAGGCAGGAGTTAAACTATCTGAGTAAGGGACAGGTAAGTACATATGTATGTATGCATTTTCTAATACTTCTGGCTGTGACAGGAAGGTGATTTTCTCCTTAGAACAGAGTAGAAACATTAGGAAATTTAAGGGTCAAAGGAGGAACCTGCTCTAAGATCACAAGCTTATTAACACAAAAAACAAATTGAGGTTCTACATTTCAAAACTCTCAATGCCAAGCAAGCATAACATGTAGCTTTCAGTAAGGGGTCAATAAAATCTCTCAGCTATAGAACACATTCCACAGCTCACGGAAGAGAAAACAGGTTACCTTTTCAGCCATTTTCTCAGCTGGGGTACTGAAGAATTCTACTGTTGCTGGAATCTTCTTCTGATTGCTAATGCCAACATTTCCCAGAAGATGAGCGTGCACGGCTTCTGCCAACTTGTGGTTTGAGAGTGCCAGTCCTGCTGTGCTGTGGGGCTGTGTGTTAGGGGAGTGTGTCTGCTCTCTTCCCCACTGTAAGGAGATCAAGAGTTCCTCCAGAAACCTGCACAGAACACACATGAGCAATGAACACTCATAAAGACAAAATACAAGAACCAATAAGAGGAAGTAAGTAAGCAACATGTATTTCAGAAGTCATTAATATCTTTACTCAGAGTTCAAGTCTCAGGATGACTGGTCAAGGGCAGAAGACACTTGTTAATCTACTACTATGTTATTACCTGGAAATCATGAAAACAAGTAGTACAGTTTAATATAATCATATTTGGTTGTTGAAGTCTGAATGCTAAATCAACCTCCAATATCTAGAGTTAACTTTACTTGGCCATAATGTATAAACTATTTTCTATATTGTTGGATTTGATCCACTAACAGTGTCTAAGGATTTTTTTTTTTTTTTTTTTTTTTTTGTTTTTTTTTCGAGACAGGGTTTCTCTGTGTAGCTTTGCGCCTTTCCTGGAACTCGCTTTGGAGACCAGGCTGGCCTCGAACTCACAGAGATCCGCCTGGTTCTGCCTCCCGAGTGCTGGGATTAAAGGCGTGCGCCACCACCGCCCGGCCGGATTTTTACATCTATGTTCATTAAGATAGAAAGTCTATAGGTTTTGGTTATGATCTCGTTTGTTATCATAATGCTCGCCCCCCAAAATGATTAGGAAATTGCTCTCTTTCCTTCTATCCTCTAGAAGAACTTGTGTACAATTGTGTTTCTCTCTTCCTTAGATGTTTATTAGCATTTAGTGGATCCATCTAGGCTAGAATTTCCTTCACTCGGCTTTTAACTACAAATTCAACTCTTTAATGGGTTAGGGTTAGTTAACTTATATATCTGTTATTTTTGATGATTTATTTTAAAATTATTCGTGTGTGTGTCAGGTGTGCGTACATAAGTGCAGGTGCACACCGAGCCCAGAAGAGGGCGTCAGATCTCCTGGAGCTGAAGTTACTAGTAGTTACAAGCTGCGCAGCATGCTTTAGTGCTGAGAACCAAAGTCAGGTCCTCTGCAAGTGCAGCACACTCTGAACTGCTCTGCCACCTCCAGTCCTCCTACATCTGTTCTGAAGTAACCTTTGGTAATATGTCTTAAGCTTATCTAAATCATTGACTTGATTGGCTAGAGGTATCAATAACTTTCCCTTATTATCTTTGCTATGTCTATTCAATCTATTGCGTGCAGGCTTTCATTCCCAATACTTAACATGCACCATCGTTCCTCAGTGGACTGGCTAGAATTTTTTTCTTATTTATTTATTCTTCTCTCATACAATACAACCTGACCATAGCTTCTGCTCCCTCTCTTCCTCCCAATTCCACCACCACCACCATCTCCCCTCCCCCTCACTGCTCCTCTGTTTCCTCTAAGAAAAGAGCAGGCTTCCCCATGACATCAACTAGACATGGCATAACAAGATGCCGTAAGACTAGGCACAAACCCTCATATCAAGGCTGGACAAGGCAACCTGGTAGGAGGAAAAAGTCCCAAGAGCAAGCAAAAGAGTCAGAGACACCACCACTCCCACTACTGTTAGGAGTCCCACAAAAGCCCCAAGCTAAACAATCACAGCATGGATGCAGAGGACCTAGCTCAGACCCATGCAGGCTCCGTGACTGCCACTTCAGGCTAGACATTCCTTAACTTTATCTTTTTTTTAAAAGTTTCATCACAAAATTGTTTTAGCTATCATCATTAACACTCTTTCTTACTTCTGCTTAATTTGGGTTTAATTTGCTTTTTGCATTTCTCAGAGTAGTAACTTAAATTACTAATAAGCCTTTTTTTTATTTCCCCCAATAAACCTCCCTTTTTATCTTTTTACAGATAGGATCTTCCTACATAGCCCAGACTGGCTGGAATTCAGGTACTTCTGCCTCAGCTTTCCAAGTGATGGGATTACAGGTACGCATCATCATAGCCAGCCTGGAACAAGCATTTCCCTTGTAACACTGCCTTAATTGCCTGTAACAAATTTCCATACTTTGATATATTTTGCTTTATTCTTCTAATGTCCCATATAATTGATTAGTAATTATTCAATTACATAAAAGTACAAAGACCTTTTAAGAAACACTGCCCATGTGTTTATTTATTTATTTTATTATTATTATTATTATATATTTTTAAAAAATATTTCAGCCTGTTAGTTCTGGAATGCAAAGATATGCAGACATGTTCTAATATTACAAAAAGACTTCAAAATCTCTCCTGTGGGAGAAACAGGGATGTCACTTGGCTTCCCAAACTATACAAAGCCACCATATCCATACCCAGGAATTACTTTTAAATGCAGAAACAACCTCACTCACAGATCTCTAACAATTCTTTTCCCTATTAGGAATGCGAGATGCAGCACCACCTTTTCTGTTTTTAGGGCTCCCTCCTCTCAGGGCACCTATTTTAAAGTGTGACTTACAGTATACAGTTGGTATGTTAAAAAACATGGCCACACTGAAACAAACAATCCAACGAAACCTTTCACAACAGCGAAACCTGCAGGAGTTGACAGGAGAGTTCAGAATGTGAACAAGAGCCGTACTTTTGGGTAGAGATCATTTCCTGGCGAAACTGCTCCCGTTCACTCAGGAGATCCTGTATGGCGCTCTGGGCATCTCGGTTCTGACGCTGTAGAACTACTCTGAAGTTCGTCAATTCGTCTGCCATTACTCTGAAAAAGATGAAATTTCACATACAGTTCTCCCACAGTACCAAGCACATAGAAGTTAATCTACTACTACTCTGTGACTGTCAGTTTCAAAAGCTAACAACAGGATTTAACATGCTCACTGCTTTGCAGCTCTAGCGTTTTAACTGAGAACATTTTTACATACAGAGCTTCTGAAGCAGGATCAGTTGAAATATTTTTTAAATGACAGAAAAGTACCTAACTTTTTTATATAGTGACTTAAATTATTAAATGCATGCTTCTAACTATTAAAAAACTGAAAGGAAAATAAATAGTAAATTATTTTTCTCACTACTCAATTGTACTTTCAGAAGAATGCTGAAAACTTTCTCTAAAACAAAGAAGTCTTCCTCTGCCAAGCAGCCTCATTCTCCTTTACGGAGCAAATAAAGTTTCTTATTTTTCCAAAAAAATAATTTAAATGTATTTCAACATGAATGTGTGAAAAAATAAATAATGGGGAATGTGTTTACTAGAAGGAAAAATTTATTACAAAGTTTTCTACATCTTGCTTTTTTTTTCACTAGAAGACAAAAGAAGGACCTTAGTATTCAACTACTAGAAAATATCATAGATATAATACATGAAGAAATGCTAGTCTACAATTTATCAGCGGTTCTTAAAGTATAGCTTGGAGACCTTTGGTGTCTTGTGAGAAATCTCCAGATGAGTTGTTTTAAATCAGCAGTTATTAAACACACGGTGTCCTGGGTAGTTTACTGCACACCTGACATGGGTTAGTTGGCTAAGAAGGCGGCACCACAACTCAGAAGATGCTTCCCTAAGACTAGCCTGTAAACTAGCCTGTGGGGGCGTTTCCTTGATTGATGACTGATGTGGGAAGGCCCAGCCCACTGTGGGCGGTGCCACCTCTGAGCAGGTGGTCCTGGGGTATAAGAAAACAGGCTGAGAAAGTCTAGAGGAACAAGTCAACAGGCAGTATTCACCCACGGCACCTTGAGTTCCTGTCCTGACTTCTCTCAGTGACGGCGTGTGACCCGAGAGAGATGTAAGCGGGAACAAACCTCTCCCTAAGAAGCTGCCTTTGTGTGTTTCATCACAGCAGCAGAGACCTACCTAGGACAGACAGTGTCTAAAACATGCTCTTATTGCTGCAGAAGTTGAGTGGGGTAGGAGACAGACAGACAAGGACCAGTGTGGTCAGAGGCCTGGACCACAGCCTTGTGGCTTTTTCCATGTGGCAGAGTTGCCTCACCAGCTTTGCCATAGTGAGGATGTTTTCTGTTTATACATGGGGAGAAGAACTTGAAAAGGTCTATACACGACCAAAGAGCTGTGAGACCGAGACCAGAGCATGCTGGGTGGAGACTACCGTCCTAGGAAGTGGGAAGGAGCTTGCTTTCTCTGGGTAGAGAGGGGAGGGTCTACATCTGCCTTTTGAGACTGCAGTATTTCCACATTTGATTTTAGTGTTGTGTTGTTTACTGTAGAAGAGTGAGTTTTAGAATGAAAGGGGGCCATGATTACCCACCTCTCTCTAAGAGACTGCGTGGCCCTCCAGAGGGGGAGTGCTACACATTAAATAATGTATGAAGCACTCCGACAGTCTTGCATCAGAAATTTTCCCTGTTATTTTGCTATGAGTCCAAAGAGTGACAGGCAGAACAAACAGCAGGGAAGGAAGTACTATTTACAACAGAAAACACCTGCTTGCGAGGAATTTGCTTCTCCACACATCACACTGTATCGACATCCGCTCCAGCTGTTCCGAAAGCTGGGCTGTGTTCCGACCTAGTGCTTCGTTTTCTAAAATGAGCTGGTTCTTCTCCCGGGCTAGGCGTTCAAAGTGATACTGCGGGTCATCTCCAACAGAGGCCACCAGCAACTTTTTTAACTCACGATTTATCTAGGATGAAAGAAGACAACCAAGACAGAAAGCTTAAGAAATGTCACTGACTTGACAGTAACAAAACTGATGACAGAGAGTCTCTTTCTGTGTCCTTTGGAGCCTGTTCCAATGTGTCAGGGTTTGTCTCACAGTTTACTTCATTATTATTCCTTAGAAGCTGGTTTGTTTCCTAATGAGAGACAGAAAGGGGTAGATACAAATAGGGAGGGAGGGAGGGGGGGAGAGGAGGGGAGGAGAGGAGGGGGGGGAGGAGGAACTGGGAGGAACAGAGAAGAGGAAACCGTAATCAGGATATATTATATGAAAAAGAAATCTATTTTCAATAAAAAAAATTAAGAAAAGAAAAATACTAGAAATAAGACAAAGTGAACCTATATGAATAGTTATACAGTTATATCTAGACAGTGTAATTACAGATGTTACCATTTTTATTGTCTTTCTGAATTTTCTTTTTGATCTTTTAAAAATGGTGTGTGTGTGTGTGTGTGTGTGTGTGTGTGTGTGTGTGTGTGTGTGTGTACACGTGTGGAGGCCAGAGAAGAATGTCTGTCTCCATCACTCTGTGACTTATCTCCTTGACACAGGGACTGTCATTGAAACTATAGCTAGTCTGGAGGCTAGCAAGCCCCAGATATCCTTTCTTTTTGTCCCTGAATCCAAAACCCCAGCACTGATGTTAGAGGTGTACATGGCTATATCAGGCTTTTTACATGGGTGTTGGGGATTTGAACCCAGGTCCCCATACTTGTACAGTCAGCATTCTTATCCATTAAGCCAGTTTACAAATAAATATATATCATTTTATATTTAGAAATTAGCTAAATATATTAAACTATTAAATTCAAATAAAATGATTTAAATATGAATAAAATCTGGATAAGAACCACTAATCACTGTGTTACACACACTATCACCTTGCAAAAAGATGTAGTTTTGGGCTAGTGAGATGGCTCAGTATGAAGGCCTGACCACCTGATCTGAGTTTAATCTTGGGAACTGAGGTGGTTCTGACCTCCACACTCATGAAGTGGAATGCATCCCTCCCTATACAGTGCACATGCGCGCGCGCGCGCGCGCGCACACAACCAATATCAAAATGTAAAGTTGAACAGAAACAAGAGAGGGCTGAGGCAATTTTATTAGGCTGCGAAGGTTAAAGTAACACAACTGAACGCTATGGATTCTTATTAACGTCTAATGAAGACACAGTAACTTATTTCACACACACCCCACACTCTTCCCAGGTATCAGGCAAAAATACTTGGGATGAATTCTTCAAACGAGGACTGCTAATTAGTCAATGGCAAAGCCCGACCTGGTCAGCTCATGAATGTGACCTACTTTTCTGACTTAGAGGTGGTCTGACCTAAAGCTGCTCACACCTCCACTTCCACCACACTTAGAGTATGAGTCCCCACATAAACTCTTCCTAGAGGCCCGATGGCAGAGTGAGAAATTCAAGAGGAAGCTTTAGAGAAACGACAACCTATGATAAATGACATTTCTGAGAAAATGCGTTTTCCAGCATGGGATTAAAAGGTCCAGAGATAAAGATCAGAGTTCACTGAAGCTGTGGGCTGTGCTCACCTCTGTCTGTACCCGGAGCTGGTTTGAAAGGCCTTCTTTGTCCTGAAGTAGCCTCCTTTCAGAATTCTTGAGCTTCTCTAAAAGCTTCTTTGCCTCTGCGAGTTCCTTCCTCGGGTCTGTGACTACCTCTGGCTGCAGGTGGACTTCTTCTCGGTGATAGCCCAGAGACTTAAGCTTTGTATTTTTGGTGGGGATGTCATGAGAGATGGCGGCTTTGGGAACAAATATCCTCACAGCTTCAACTTCCACTGCTTTTTCAGTAAGAATCTTTCCCAGCTGAAGAACGCCTGGGCTGTCTGAGGGAACTTTCTTACGTGGACTCTGAAGGACATGTTGATTTATGGGTTGGACTTCAGAGGTGACTTCAACAGACTTAGGGGGCTCCTCTGTTTCCATTCCATCTCCTGCTCCTCGGATTGGGGTCGAAGTGAGGTTGCCTAATGAAGAGGTCAAGCCAAGGACAATTTACCAAAAGACATGATAAGAAAATGCCAAGACTACTTGTTATGTAGCAGTTCCCTCCCTGACTGAAACACTCCCTTCTGTAGGGAAGCTCCTTAAGCTAGAAAGCGAACAACTCCAAACAGCTTCAGGAAGTCCCTGAAAATGACAGATTCACTAGGCCCCTCCATTCCAATAGTAAACGATAAAGGGTGTGCAGAGTCACTCTCAGAGGAGCCAAGACTGGAGACCAGACCAGCTGCCTGGAAGAAACAGAACCCGCCAGGCTGCTGGGAGGAGGCTCAAAACCACCAAGGCACCTGGAAAAAACCCCCTCCAATCTGTTGAGCTGCCTGCAGGCTGTGCAGTGTGCCCCCGATTCCCAGCTTTTGGGGAGCTGTCACTGTGCTGGAGCATGGACCGTGGTGATGCAGCTGTCTTTGAGACATTTCTGCTCCTGTGTAACCCCAAGGAAATTCATTGGTTCACCAAGGCGGACGATGGCAGTGTCCATTCTTTGCTTTGTCATGGGCTCCCTATCTGGAGTGAGTAGGCGTGTGTTACATCTCTCCACGAAGTCTTGCCAAACAACACTGCTTTGCCCTATGTTCTAAAGTATCAACAGCAAAAGGAATGGAAGAAATTCAAGAGTAATTTCTAAACCATCGTGCATCAACGAAAGTCTTTATTCGACTTTCATGTTTAAGATTTCCTTAAATTAAAGGCTTCTTTCTTGGAAAACGCAAGAGAATTTGTTTCTGGCTTCCATTTTGTAATATACTCCTAGAAAAATAACTTTCTTCTATTTATTTCTATATTGAAATATATGAAATGGAAGTAACAGCCAGGCCATACGGTGGTGATGAGCAGGAATGTAATAAGGTCAAGCTCTGATGTACTATGGACACTCAATGATGTCAAATATAACAATACATATTAGCAATATATACATATATTTGAAAGTATCTACATCCCTCATAATAGATTAACCTGTGTTATGCTTTACACAGGGGTAGAGAAGGGCATTGTGTATGTTACATTGGAAAACTGATTAGGAAAAGTATCCCATTCTTACACCTAAAGGGTAAAAATTAAACTAGTGAAACCATATGGGCTGTGAGACTTAACTCCTTTAAACCTCACTTTTATCATCTTTACATTATCTTTCCGGGGTCATATGCCCTGTGTGGTTTTTGATTTATTTTACATGCACTATGTTTCTAGTATGTATTGTATGCTCTAGTCAATAGATACATGAATAGCAATAAATTCATAATGTACAGTAAGGAGAAACACACTAGTCGGTAGCAGTGGTTATAATGATGGACTGAAGAGGTCACACACAACAAATACAGTACCAGGCAAAGAATAAAGGCCAGATATTTTGTGAGACAGTATGGACCACTGTGCTTAAGATAAGATATAGAAAATAGGGGAAACACACACACACACACACACACACACACATACATACACACACACACACACACACACACACACACACGTGCGCGTGCACATGATAACATGGGTGCTGGGACTTAGTAGTATAGCACATGCTTAATAAAAGTGATGTATTAATGAACAGTTTTATGACTACACAACTTTGAATTTTTTTTAATAAACTTCTAGTTGGGTATAATGGTGTATGCCTATAATCCCAGTACTTGGGAGTCTGAGGCAAGGGCAGTAAGTTTGAAGCCAGCTAAGACTGATAGTAAGAGCCTGTCTCGAAAAGAAAGGAAGGAAAAAAGGAGTTGAAAAGCAGTGACAGCACATGTGAGGTTTGGGCTAGATCTCCAGCAGCACAAAATACAGCAACAACAACAACAACAAAACCAAAAACCAAACCAAAACAAAAAAAACACAGAAGAAATAAATATATAAGTCCTGGTGAAGATCTGTATTGTCAAACAGTCTTTCAAACTCACTTTACTAATCAGTACGTCTATTTCTTGTATCTTTAGATATGCTTGATTTTTGCATTTTCAAAATGTAACATTTAAAACAATCCATGTAAGAATACATGTAAATTGTTCAGAATGGTGGTGAACAAAGTAAGCATTCATTAAATGTCCTTTTACTTTTGCAATTATTGTTCTTTTATGAAATCTAATAAACTTTGCCTATTGATAATGGGGAAAAGGAAAGTTTACTTAGTATTATAAAATATAATTTTGACTTTCATTCTCTTATGCTAGTGTTAAAATGATATCACTGGAATATAAGACATTTCATTTCATAGATTTGTTTTTCTATTTGGTATGTATCAATGTATTGGTGCTTGAGTTATATAAAATAGAAGGTACAAAGGCATCTGGGGTTGTAAATTGTTTTCTAGCTCACAAAATATTTTATATTAGGATAAAATCATTTTAATATGCAATACAAATTGAAACAGGCTCATGGCTTTGGGACCAATTTTTGAAGTGATAAAGGAAGATTTCAGAAAGTGAGACCAGGGTTTAGTATTATAGCATGTTGGAAACAGCAGCACTTTACAAGGAGAATGCACACAAACCCTGTACAATTAAAGAACCACTCTTGTATGGATGTATGTAGACAGGGTCTTACTATGGAACTTAAGCTGGTCCTCTGGCTAACATGCAGCCCAGGCCAACCTTGATCTGGAGTTCTTCCTGCCTCTACCTCTTGGTACAGCATCTTGGTTGACTTGTTTTCATATTCTTAAAATTTCGTTTTAGTTTTGTCTAATTTTATCTAATGTATTTCATTTTGTTACTTGTCTTGTTTCTGGTGTTTAAGAATGCAGAATCATATATTAACTACAAATTAAAAAGAACAACAATAAATTTACCACTAATGCCACACCATTCCAGTCCATTGAGGTTGACCCACAAGAAGCAGGTGATACTTTGGTTATGGTTCCAGTCAAAATGGATTCCTAGGCAAGTCATAAAAACTTGATCTAGGAGTTTAAATACTGTTATGTAAAGGAAAAATTTAAGTAAAGGAACTTCAAACAATAGAGATTCAAGGTCAAATCACAAAATCGTTAAAAGACGAAACAATGTGTATTTGACAGATAATTCTTTTCAAACAAAACAATCATAATTTCAATCAAGAAATTCAGCCAACTTTCAATTCCAGTTTACTCTTTAACTTTATTTAAACTGTTCTACTTACTTAAGAACTCATGGCTATCAGAAAGGACCCATCAGGTCTTGTTAACATGCAGCTGAGCAGGCAGAGCCAGGGCTTTGCATTTTCTTACCTTTCATATTTTCTTACCATTCTATTTTTCCCTCTGACACACATAGAAACCTTTATTACACATGTACTAGGCTATGCAGGGCACATTCATAAATAATTACATCCTTCAAGTTCTCAGACAAAAACCTATGGCACCAGCTCTGTAATTATGAATAATGATGAATAAAACAAAACCTCAATCCTTGTTCTCCATCCCTTGAAGGAAAGCAACCAATATCCTGTATCATTCTGACCCTCATACCTGTGATCATGCATTAATCAGTTTAAACAGATGTAAGGTTTATGGTTTTTTCATACTGGCTTTCCCATGGACTGACGAAATATAAAGAAACAGAAAAATCACTAGTTTAATGTGGGAGTCTGCCAGAGTCCAGCTCCGACCTGCTCCTACCTTTCGAAGGGTTCTTGGGTGGAGGAGAGAGGAATGAGGAAATATTAGGTAGGAAGATGGAAAGAGACAATAAGAAAGACAAAGACACAGTATAGCTTTGGGAGGGCCCTGGGTCAATACCCAGCCATGCCCAGAGCTTTACTGAAAAGGGCTTTTTATAATATGCCAGGGGGAGAGGTAAAAGACCTCCCCCTTGCAAGATCAAAGCACACTGTAAAGCCAGGTGTAGACCCTTCCAAACACCTGGTAAACACACCCGTGGCAAAATCATCCCCTTATGCAGTCCTGCTGGGTAGAGCAAGCTCAGATTCTCAGACCCTGAGTAAAGTCTCACTAGGAAGCCTCTGTGTGCCACCACAGTCTAACATTCTACATAGAGACTCGCAAACTTTTTTGGTAAAGGGCCAGAGAGGAAATATTTTAGGCTTTTGGGACGATGAGGTAAAACTGAAGACAGTCTTTAGGTACTTATATGAGAAGACAAAACCAATTTTTTTCTCTTGATGAAAGAAACTTTGGTCAAGTAGGTAATGATAAAAACAGAATTCATTTTTACTCAGGATAATAATTGATTTCCATGGGATGCAGTTACTGTTTATAATCACTAAACTGACTGCAAACTTGGTTAAGGGGGGTGAAGGCCACCGTTTACAAATTTTTGTTTTAGATTATGGAAGGAAAAAGAGCATGATTTAGAGGCCATCACTGAACAAATACTTCCCTTATTAATGACAGTGTAAATCTATGAGGGGTGTATTTCAAGTCACATGACTGGGCACAGAAAGAACATCAACCCCCTGAGCCAAGCTAATACTAAGTTCTGTAGTGGGTAGCCATTCCAGCTTTGATCTGGAAGTTCCAACCCGCATTGAGGCTTCAATTGTCACGCCTACAAGGCGGGGCCAAGGGAGGCGCCTGGAGACCTGAGATCTGGATGAGCAGCTCTCTCTGTTCCTGGACCCTGGACAGTGGAAGTGGACCAAGCAGAGCTCCAGAGAACACCGCTGGACTGCGATACACCTTCCCCAGACCCCGTGACCTACCTATCCCTTCATTTGTAAGTTACCCATTAAATAAATCTTCCTTTTAACTACGTGGAGTGGCCTTAATAATTCCAGCAATAGTTTCCACTGCCGTTTGGGGTACAAGCTTAGGCCACTCATGAACTTCCCATCTTTCTGTCATGTGGAGCTTGGAGAATGCTGTAAGCACTACAGTATTTCAGAATAACCTATTGCTATTCCAAACTAGACTATTGGAAGCTACATTAGTTACAGATAACTCTTCCCAGCTCATTTCACCAGCTAAAGAAATGTGCTTGGCATAAAAAAGCAAAGTGAGTACATGCTTACTTAATTAATGAAGTTATTAATCTGTCAACATATACCTAACTTCATTTAAACCTTTAGTGAAAAACTTTTGAAAACAACTTGGTTTTTTCCTGTATTAAATCATTAATTCTGAGTTCCATTGCATCCTAATCTGACAGACTCTCTGGAACACATGTAAACTAAACAATACAACGGTTAAACTGGGGATGTCACTTGGTACATGTTAAGACAATATTCTTTTTTAGGAAGTGGGAGCAGCTGGGATTGAAGCTAGGCCCTAGGGCCTGGCAAGCAAGCAGTCTACCAGAGCTGTACCACAGCCCTCTTTTTCATTTCTATTTTGAGATAGGATCTCACTAGGTTGCCCAGGTTAGCCTTGACCTGACTCTGTAGCCCAAATAAGATTGGAATTTGTGATCCTCCTGTCTCAGCCTCCCAAGTAGCTGGAATTACAAGCCTGTGCCCCTAGGCCAAGCTTGAATGTTCTTTTAAATGTCACCATTATCATCTAGTAACGTTTACTTATTACATTAGAAAAATATGCTATAGACCATCAGCTTAACGTTTATGAAGGCGATGTCCAGACCTTACCTCTACAGGCTCTGGATCAACAGTTGCCTGGTCAAATGTGTGCCCACTTACGAATGATGCATATCCTCTGGACTTTCACAGTACACACTGGTGCTCTAACAGCACTGAGAAGTGCTAGTATAACCAATTCAACTGGGCATTTCCAAATTCATCTGCTCATAGAATCATTTTCACCCAATCTTTATGACACTATAGAATTAAAGTCAGATAGCGTTTTAGGACTTCAACTATTTAAATGTCTAAGACCTCACTATCTGGTTACTAAACTAACTGTGATAGCTACATTTTAAATGTAGAAAAGTCTATCATTTTAATGTTTTAATTAAATTGCTTATTTTAGGTTTGCCTTCGAGATGAGCCCTAGTAGTAACGATCCATCCCTCCTACAATGGCAGCGCTGGTCACGTGTTTGGGAGAAAGTTCTAGTGGTATACTAAGCAATCACATTTCTCTCCTGACACAGTTAAAGAAAATGCAGGCAACTGACAACATCAAATGTAGGTATTCCTTTTCTCGGGCCATGCAGCACAAACATCTTTTTTCACTAACAAGAGTTACATTAAAGTAAGACTAGAACAAACAGTGTATTACCTGCCTTACTAGATAATCAAGATAAAATGAAATGATATGAAAATGCTTTTAACTTTAATCCTCATTACAAACAATAACAAAAACAATTTCATTGCCCAGGAGCCTTTCATAGTAAAGTTTTAATAAGTAATCATACTCTATTTAGTTTTTGCTTTTGGCCAAGTGCATTAGTTGCTGTCACAATGGTGATCATTTAATTGCTCTTATTTGCCATTCATTCCCAGTCTACTACTCTCACCAGTCTCCCACCTGCTTATTCTAATGCTAGCCAACTCTTCCAGGGAGGCAGTATGTTGTTGTACCGGTAAGTGAGATGCAGTTATCTGTCAGCATCAGCTTTGCCTCCTGTTTCCTCCTGTTTCACCCTCTTAAAAGAAAAGAGTGCTGCCAGAAATCTGCTTCCTACAAAGTTCCCCTTTAGAGAACTGCCACTGGCAGAACTCTTGATACCCAGGGAGTACACTAATTCTGGAATTCACTTTGGGATATGCTTTGACTCTTGCCTATATGCAAAGGGGAGCCGACTATAGGCGCCGAATTACAAGGAATGTGATCTAGGACAGTGACAGACTTGTAAATTGTTTTTATACGTAATCAGTTACTGAAACAGAAGAGGCAGAAGAGAGCAGAAGAGGCAGAAGGTTTAAAAATATTGATATTGGGGGCTGGAGAGATGGCTCGGTGGTTAAGAGCACTTTCAAAGACCGGGGTTTGATTTCCGGCACCACAAGATGGCTCACAATCATCTGTAACTCCAGTTCCTGGGGATCTGATGCCTTCTTTTGGGCTCTGTGTGTACCAAGCCACTTGTGGTGCACATACATACATACATACATACATACATACAGGTAAAACACTCATACAAATAGATTTTAAAGAGATTTCAAAGATAAAACAGAGAGGAGACTGAGAATGAAACAAGACACAATTAGAGCAGCACTGTAAAAGGATTTGCTTCAAAGCTGGAAATGTAACCGTGAACTGGCACACTTTGTGATTGAGCAGCTTGGTGTGTAGATAGTTCGTAATTTTAAAAATGTTAATTTAAACCCAAACATCCAGAGATGTGGTTACTCTATTAGACAGGGAAGAGTTACAATGAATGCTGAAAATAAAAGTGCCATCATGAAAATCATGGAAGAATTTCCAAAGATAGAGAACCATCGCTGGCGTATTAAACACTACAGAGGGGCAAAGCAAAGTGGAACTCAAAAGTGACTACTGCACACAGCACGCACTATGGGTAGAACGGGACCCCGGATTGTCATTATGTTAAAGTTCTAGCTCCTATGTGACCAAGGTTTGGAAACGCTATCTTTGTAAATAGCTAAGATAAAACCACTTAGGATCCACTATCACTGACATGAAGAGCCCCGGAACACAAATAATTCTCAAGGAATCTATGCCACTTAGTCGCCTGTCTAAAGAATCCCCAAAAGTCTGGGCACATCTTTAATCCCAGCACCTAGGAGGGGCAGGCAGATCTCTGTGAGTTAGAGGCCATCGAGTTCCAGGACAGCCAGGGCTACACAGAGAAACCCTGTCTCGAACCCCCACCCCGCCCCGGTCCCCCAAATAAAACCCCCAAACCAAAAATCATAAAAACAGGAACACTTACTTTTGGTTTCTAAGCTTTTGAGGGTAGCCATTTTTTTCGTAACTAGTGAAAAAGCACTCCAAGACTTTCACCGAAGACCTAGAAATGTATACATATTAAAAAAATTAAAGCCATCCCAATATATTCAGTTGGTGCCTCTACTTTAAAAGTTATATTTTAATTGTTGCTGCCTTTAGTACCCACACATTTAGAAACGGAGCCATTCTTCGTTACCCCCTTTTGACAGGCGGTACTATAGATCTATTCAATATTGGAACACCAGGCATAGGTTTATGTATTATTCTTTAGAGTCTAGACTGCGGAGTAGGTGACAGGCAGCTTCACCACAATCCCTCAAAGCTGACTGTTCCCGGTACTACATACGACTCCGGACACGGTCTAACTTCCTGAACATCACAAATCCTTGCTCTGAAAACGTATCCCCAGACACTACCCAAGAGCACACTGAGATCGAAATGTCAGAAACTTCACTTACTGAAGTGTCGCTCAGTAAGTGAAAAGCGGAAAGATGTCTAACTTCAAAAAAAAAAAAAAAAAGTACCAATATGTAAGGCGAGCCGTGGGTAGGGGAAGGTGTGGGGAGGCACGGGTGCTGAGTCTAAAAGGGGGAGGGAGCGGAAGCGTCAAGACTGTCAACCTCATTCCCTAGGGGGAGGATCCCAGGTTTGTCCCTGTCAGAAGAAACCTTCCCAGAACCATCTTTAAATCCCAAACCAGTGGCCGCCGAGCTCCAGCCCAGACCGCGCTCTCCCCGCCGCGTCGGTCCCACCAGCCGGCTCCAGGATTTACCTCTGATCGTCTTTATTTCAACGCTCACCGCACAGGCTCTTCACTCCCCTCAGCGGCCGGCCCACTCGGTAAACTCCTCGGGCACTCGGAAGCCGACCCGCCCCGGCCTTCCAGACACCTAACGACTGGCTCACTCGAATCACTTCCTGTTACTCAGGGGTTCGTTTCCGGAATGCTCTTCTCGGGGAGAAGGACCACCAGCCCCGTGCTGTGTTTACAAAGGTAGAAACATAGAGTCGGCTATGTGTCGACTCAGTAAGTGAAAAGCTTACTTTAAAAAGAAAAAAAAAAGAAGTACCAATAGATAAGGCGAGCCGTGTATAGGCTTAAACTTCCGGGTCACTAACCACCAAACGGATGTGGCTACGTTGGAAGGGAGAGGGTGGCGTCGCGTTGCCCCAGGCGATGAGGTAAAGGGTGGGTCTTTGTGAGAATGGGAGGGGCCTGATTACTCCCAGCCAATGGAGACGAAGTGGCCTGGAGGCGGTGTTGGATAGAGCCTGGAGGAAGGCGGGGCTTGTGTTGCCAGAGGAACCGGATCATCCGCGGTGTTGTCTTCCTGTCTAGATATAACTGTTTCCTGTGCTGAGGTCCACAAACTATGGTGAGTATTACAGGAGGCTGGAAGAAAGGCTCCTGGGCCCCGGTTACTGAGCATCCAAGTCTTCGGGCGGTTGGGCACTCAGAGGCGACCCCATGCCTTCCTTCTTCACCACCTTATCTCGCTATGCGCAGTTACTTCTGTCCCTTCTCCCCGTTTTTGTCCTGCAGCACCCTAACTTCCACTTTAGCGCCACTAAAACCTCAAGCTAGAGTAATGTAACAAAGTAAAGGGGAGAAGATTTGGAATCTAAGAACACCCGATGAGACATTATTTCGATTTTATACGTTTGCTTTGTCCATCTTTTGCATGTCTCAAGAGTGCAGCCTCAGACCGACGTGATGGTGTCTCAACACTTACCTGGATGTGAATCTCCCTAAACACTGGAGCCTCTTCTCCCAAGTGGTGGAGTTCTGCCTTGCATCTCCTACCAGGACCGTCTAATAATAGATGTCTGCTGGCTCAGCTTGTAGTTTATTGCCTACTTTCCAGGCCTCCGTACTTTAGCAGGTATGTCTTTCAAGATGGAGAGCTTCTGGAAGGGCATGAGCACCACCATAAATTGTGACTGAATATGAATGGGGCTTGATAATTTGCCTTTTTAATAAGCCTTTGGGTGGTTTTGATTCACCCACTGCTCTACTACGCAGAGTTCTAGTTAACTCATCTTCAGTCTTCTCAACACTTGAGGATGGTGGACTGGACATAGTAAATTACTGCCTTCAGATGAGTATAGCTAGGACTTAGCAAGAGACATCCTCACATCTCATTGCTCTTCAGCAGTCCTTGTTAGCCAGTCTGTCCCTCTTTCCTGTAGAGACCTTTTCAAACCTTCACTTCACAAACCCCATCCCCCTTCCTCTCCTCTCCCTTCTAGTCACTGGACTGATTCTAATAGGCAGTGTGTTCACTATCAGCTCCTTGTCGATCAATGCTTTTATCCATCCTGTAGCCTTGTATTTCTACTTTAGAGAAGGGAGTGTCGGGAGATCATCCATCTACTTTTGCTCTTGACTTCACTTGCTCCCATCTATATACCCATCTATGCCATAAAGGAGCATTTGATCTGTTTTTTATATGTGTGTATGTGTGTGTGTGTGGTGTGGATACCGATTATTATGTTAAGTACATTTCTCGCTGTGACTCATGATCTATGACAATCGAAACATGGTGTACTTTGAAGAGTAATATACCTTCAGGTAAAAGAGTGGAACTCTCCCGGCATGCAGATTTATCTTATTCCTCTTTGACCTAGGGATGGTGCTCTTATTATTTGTCAAGAAAACTGAATTTTTAAAAAGCCTAAAAACAGTTAAGTAAAAAATTGCATGGTTTTCTCAACATCTAGCTCTTTCTCCTGTATCATTTGCGGTCAGTCCTTTCTGAGAAGCAGTGAGGTGTTTTTAGAGGTGGGGAAGCTTCTCTCTGTGTGTGCAGTCTAGGCACAGGCAGCTGGATGTGTGTATGTGGCGAAGGTTCTCTATGGAGGACGGAGGTGGTTCACTTTGCTGTGTGGCTTTCTCATCACTCTGATTGAATTATGTCACCAGTGTGGGAGAGTAGCTCAGTTGGTGAACGGCTTGTGTTGCAAGCATGAGGACCTGCATTCATTCCCCAAAATGAACATGGAAAAAAAGCTAGACATGGTGATCCAGTACTGGATCCAGTAATCCCAGTACTGGAGAGGCAGAGACAGGTGAACCGGTAAGCCAGCCTACCTTACTTGGTAAGTTCTAGGCCTGTCTCAAAAAACAAATAACAAACCTGACTTCTATCCTTGGGACCCACGTCATGGAAGGAGAGAGCCAACTCCCTTAAGTTGTCCTGTGACTTCTATTCATGCACTCTAATATACACACACATTCACTATAAATAAGTATAAAAATAATTTTCAAAGGTGGATGGTACCTGAGGAATGGTAACCAAGGATAGCTTCTGTCTTCCATGTGCACATGCATACATGTTCTTGTGTACCCATACACTCCTACATAAACATACACAGAGAGAGAGAGAGAGAGACTACACACACACACACACACACACAGACTACACAGAGAGAGAGTCTATAGAGAGAGAGAGTCAGTCTACACACACACAGAGAGAGACTACACAGAGAGAGACAGGGAGAGAATACACACACACACACACACACACACACATACACACGGCGGGGTGGAGAGAGAGAGAGAGAGAGAGAGAGAGAGAGAGAGAGAGAGAGAGAGAGAGAGAGAGAAAAGAAAAGAAATTAAGTAGTTTGAGGGTATGACATGATGAGATGCATTCAAGGAAGGTCCTCACAAAGATGTTCTTTTCAAACTGAGATTTTAGTAATAGAAGAGATTTTCTGGGGTGGATCTAGAATATTCCATTCTGAACAGAGGCAAGGTTAGTGCAGAGGTACATTAGAGAACCCGGAGGAAGGGAGGACTGGAGAAGGTGGGCAGGAACCCAAAATACTGAACTACGTGAAGCTTGGAAAGAACTTTAGATTTTATTTTAGATATACTAACATAATGTGACTCATATATTTTATCTATTCCATCATTTACATTTTTTCTTACCTTGGCTCTACCTTTAAACTTCAGCCTTATTAGTTCGGTCTAACAGTGCCATCCCCCCCCCCCCCCCCATCTGTAACACTATTGAAATTTTCTGGAAATTATTTTTCTCCTCTTCCCTTTGCAGATCAGAGATTCCTAATTTCTCTCCTTATAATTGGCTTTATAACTTGGTTCTCCTTTTCTGGCTGCTTTTGGTTTCCATAATAGCTTCCATAAGGTGTGGTGAGTGTGTTGATGAGGTGTGATTTTTCTCAGAGGCTCTTATACCGCCCTTTTTGATGGTGCAGCAGCAAACATTGTCTAAATGACCTCATTTCTAAAAGCTGGCTATTTTAGGATCGTCTGTTAGTCAGACGTAAGACAGGACAGTCACTAGAATGTGCCGTTCACCTCCCACTTACTTCTGTTACGTCCACTTGCCCATTAAGGTGCTCTTGTCATCTCTACTGACTCAACTTGCATTCTGTTCTAGGCACACCTCTTTATTCTTTAAATGTGCTGCTATATGCTTGTGTAATGGCTGCAGGCCTCTCTGATGTCTTTACATTTGATTTCATCCTTGTCCATAGACCTAATATAGTCAAATTAAACATATATGTGTGTGTGTGTGTGTGTGTTATGGATAAAACAGCTTATTCTGCTGTAGAAATATGGAAAACTATTGATTACAATCACTGTTATTATTTTGGTAAAACTCCCTAGGCACATGTTTATGTATGTGTGTACTTGTGTATATGTGATTCTACCGTATATATTGTTTTTAAAATACATTTTTCCTCACATAATAAATCTTGTATGTTTTTTCTGGATTCGTTTTAAGAATTTTATATTTTCATTTTTTCCTGATTGAATCAATCCACATATTAATTTGTTGTATTATCACTCTATATAACACATTTTACACATGTCCATTATTTCTTTAGAATAAATTAGAAAGGTAATAACTAAGTGAGGGATCCTGTGTATTGTTAAGATTTTGATATGCTGCCAAATTACCCAAGAAAGTTTCACCAATTTGTACTCTGTCAGCAGAATGCCAGGATTCCTGTTTCTCTAACACTCAGAAGTGCATACATACACTTAACAATAGATTTGATCTTTTTTTTTTTTTTTTTTGGTTTTTTGAGACAGGGTTTCTCTTTCCTGGAACTCACTTGGTAGCCCAGGCTGGCCTCGAACTCACAGAGATCCGCCTGGCTCTGCCTCCCGAGTGCTGGGATTAAAGGCGTGTGCCACCACCGCCACCCGGCAGATTTGATCTTTTACTAAGAAGCCCTCTTGCCTTTCTTAGAATATTGAGAAGGATCACAAATTGTTGCATGTTGTATAAATGAAAGTAACTGTTAATACTGACCTATAATATTTCTCTGTAATTGTGTTTTCATATCTCTCATAAAGTGTTAAGATTTGAAATGTATTGTCTGTTTGAAATGAATAAGTTCACAGCTGGCTTACAAACCCTTTACTCATGCAGAAGTTACCTAGCCCTCCCTTGGAAGAGGCACTTTGTTGCTGGCCCTGAGTGGAGCTAGAACTAGAGTTTCTCAATCTTTATTACAGTCCTGGCTTCAGCACCTACCAACCAGGCACTGTGGGGGTCTTTGGGGGCCATTGTTTTCTCATCCATAAAATCAGAAAGCGACTTATTATTCAGATTACCTTAAGGCACTTTTAAGAGCATCAAATAGTGAATGTTTATAAAAGTAATTCATAAACTGTAATGTACTAGCCATATGAAATATATTGTTTTTATATTAACCAGATTACTCCCTAATGAGAAGGTAGTTGGGAGAAATGGGAACAGATTAAAAATCTAAAACAAGCTCCTGAAATAACTATTTGAAGTTAGCAGTATTCTTGTCCACTTTGACTCTTGAGAAATTTACTTGTGTATATTAAATTCATTTTTCTTCAAGTGCTCTTACAGGTTTATTTTCCTGATGGAAGCAGTTAGAGGCTAGAGAAAAGAAAGGAGAGGATGAGAAATGGGAGGACTTGGTACTGAGTTCAGTTTTAAGAACCCACATGGTCCAGTGGATGGCCACACACCTGTGAGAATATGGGTTCCACAAATTGGACTTGGTGTGTTCCTAAAAGAAAAAGGGCCTGGAGTTGAGAAGGGGTGGGGAGATGGGAAGTGGATCTGGGAGGAGTTAGAGGAAGAATGGAGAGTGAATGTGGTCAGTATACGTTGTATGAAATTCTCATAGAAATAATAAAAATATATTTTAAAAGAACCCATTTGGTTGCTGAGGGCACATTAAAGCAGTGCACACCTTTAATCCTAGCACTTGAGAGGCAGAGGCAGGCAGATCTCCATGTTTGAGGCCAGCCTGGGCTGCATAGTGAGTTCCAAGACAGCCAGGGCCCTGGCGTGCAAAACTAGACACCCCCCCCCCCCCCACAAAGAACCCATTGGTTTAGGGGATGGGCAACTAAACATGTCTGATGTGTTTAATTGGGCACTGCATCTGATATCTGTGGGTTTCTACTCAGTTTAAATGTGAATATTTGCTTCTGTAGCTTGTAGTTCTTTGATTTTGATTTTCAGTGACATTTGATCGTGAAAGTACAATTGGAACATTCAGACCTCATCAATTCCTTGCTAGTTGGGTTCAGGGTTATGGCTTTAAACAAATTAAAGTCCCTCCATCTGGCAAGTTCAGCTCTATTGTTTGTGTCAATCATATTTTTGTTAAGTAACTTACTGCATTTTACCACATGCACCTACATTTTTAAAAGATAATTATATTCCTTTGATATCTGAATACTTTCATGTTTTTATGCAAAGGGAGTGTGGCTTCTATAATTACCTCCAGCTTTAGAGCTACTAAGAGCTTTATGATTTTTTTCAATATCCTTCATACACGTCATTGAAATTCAAAATGAACTTGGAACAGTTCATTAGAAATGAACACCAGGCATAGGCTCCTGAACTGTCTGATTTTCTGTTGAATTCTCGAAGTGTAACACACATATAACATACAAAGATAAGACTCCCCCCCCCCCCCCCCCCCCCCCCCCCCCCGCCCCCCCCGAGACCGGGTTTCTCTGTGTAACAGCTTTGGCTGTACTGGAACTTGCTTTGTAGACCAGGTTGGCTTGACCTCACTCAGATCTGCCTGCCTCTGCGTCTGCCTCCTGAGTGCTGGGATTAAAAGTGTGCGCCATCACCTTCTGGCTAAGACTAACTTTTTAAAAGCAGGAATAATTCAGATCATTCTTTTTAAAGAGCTCACAGAGTGACTCTTATTTTAACATAAGACTAAAAGAGACTTCTAATTTTCTTGTTTGTAAAATGAGGTTGATAAAAACATTAGCTTTATTTTAAAGATACTGTTATAATTAAATTATATGGTGCTTACCCTAATGATTTATATTCTGTAAGCATATTAATCTTAGCTATTATTTGCTGCTGTTTTTATTAAATTTGTTTCTGATGATTTCATATAGATGTGTATATTGCTTTCTGATTATTGTCATATTCACCCTCTCTTATCTCTCCTACCACAATTACTAGCCACTCTAGTCCTCTTTCTACATTTTTGTCTTTTTGTTTTGTTAAATGAACCACTGAGTTGACCAAGAGCCATCTACGTGACTAGGAATTTGTAACCATCCATTAGAGCTTACCATCACTGGGTAAATAACTGAAGACCACATCTGACTTTCCCCCAGGATTTACCAGTAGACCATAGTTCATCAGGGAAAAGGAGGGCCACTTGGGCCCCTAATCCATCCATTGTTGCCATTTGACAGGCCTAGTGTGCTCAAGCCTATTTTGATGTGAAATCATGATTGCATTGATTGAATCTTACTCATTGCAGGTTTCATAGCATTTCTCACTGTATTTGGGCCTTTACAGTGTTTCTGCTTCTCCTCAGCCAATCTTTTTTTTTTTGTTTTTTAAATTTATTTACTTATTATGTATACAGAAGAGGGTGCCAGATCTCATTACAGATGGTTGTGAGCCATCATGTGGGTGCTGGGAATTGAACTCAGGACCTCTGGAAGAGCAGTCAATGCTCTTAACCTCTGAGCCATCTCTCCAGCCCCTCCTCAGCCAATCTTAATGGAGGTGGTATGAATGTCCCATTTACGGTGAGCACTTTAGTGTCACTTAGTTTTAGTGTTTTGAACAGCCATACATCTCTGCATTCACCAATGTTCATTGCAAGAGATATTTCTTTGATTAAGAATGAGAGTAGCATTCGTCTAGGGGTATACATAAAAGTACTTAAAAGACAACTTAGCCTTCAATTTAGCTAACCAACAGTAATAAGTTCCCCCCTCTGCTGTGGGTTAACTGGGTATATACATTACCAGATGTGAGTTCCCTCTTGGTGGGCCGGCCTGGAAACTGATCAGAGTGCTTGGTTGCCCCCGTTGTTGCCGTGATGAGCACATCTTGCCCAGCAGGTTGGTATTGTAGTTCATAGGGTCTTCATGTGGGTATTGATGGATACTGATCCGTTTTCTTCCCCAGCAGCCTGCACTGCATCCTCTGGCACCATGAAAGCTGGTCAGCAGGGAAGAAGCTTACAGTCCGGTTCCAGTTTGGTTTCTCTGTATCTTGCACCCAAGGTGTGTGATGTCTTCAGCAATAGATTTTTTTATCAGCTAATTCTGATGGACAATCAAGAGGAATGACAAGAGCCTGTATTGTGTAGGGAGCCTCTGGGGTCTCTCCGACCAACAATATAAAGGGAGTCTCCCACAGCTGACACGATGAGATTTTTGTTTAATAACACATGACTACTAGACACAAGCTTCTACTGTTTTGTTGTTGACAAGTATTAAGAGAGATTTAAGAAATGGAGGAACACAGAGGAGAGACTAATCCCTATGACATGATGTTAATTGTTTGTTTATTGTTTTTTTCCAATGATGGAGACCAAATCCGGCATCTTGTACTTGCCAGGGAAGCCCTCTACTACTGCACTCAATCCCCAACCCAAGACATGTTAATTAAAAATAACAGAGTTAGTTAACGTGTTATTTTTATTCAGTGACTTTATGCTTTCTTTAACATATGACTATGTATAAATCCAAAATGAAACTTACACATTTTAATGCCAACATCAATTCCCTAAATTTACCAGAAGGCATTTGGAGACAGTAGGAAACCATGTTGTTATGGTTCATTGTTAGAGTTCAGCTTTGTTACCTGTATAATTAAGTGCATAATAGACTTGCTTTCTCTCTTCTCTATTAATGTTAGTTTTTCTCATTGACCCCCTTTTTTAATTTTTTTGTGAGTATAAAAGTACAGACTTTGTTTCTATGAGAAAGTACTTTTGTATATCATCTATTTATATGTATATATATTATCTATATATAAACATACTCTGTTGTTTTGAGGCAGAGTCTGTGTTTTTTAGATTTACATACATTCCAGCCACCCTCGCTTTTCCCTTTACTTTAAATGCTCCTTCTCTTCCTTCATACCTGTGCTCAAATGATACCTCATCAGGAGGTGGGACTTCCTGGTCCACCCTTCTAGAGCAACAACCCTAGGCATTCTCCATCCTGCTTCCTTTCTTCATCTTTTTTTCATTTCAGTGCCTGATAAAAACATTACAAAGCTGCAGATTTTTCAAAAATAATGATAGTGTGAAATTCTTAAAATTTTCTCTTTTATGGCAACTAAGAGTTTTAAGTAACCCCCAGAATCTCTGAAGGTTGCTATTATATGCACAGTGAAGATAATTCTGCATGCTTGGGGAATAGAAAGAATGAGAATCCTAAGAATGTTGTGAAAAGATAGTTGAGAAGAAAGGAAGTTGACTTCCTATGCAAATCCTTGCTCGTCGTTTGCCAGAGAACTTTTTTTTGTGTGTGTCAAGGCCTACCCAGTACTGTGGAAAAATCTAGAATTCTAGATCAAAAGGAGTAGATGTTTATTCTGAGAGAAGTCAGGCTTTATTCATGCCCAATCACTGTTAAATTTCTACTATGTGACATTCACTGTTCTAAACAACCTCTAAACCTTTAAGGAACTATAAAGGCCGAGTTTGGGGAGATATATAATTTTAGACAAAAAGTATGTGATATGATATATCATGATAAGAAGTATTGCTAATTATGAGAAATGAAGCAATTTATAAGGCTGTAAAGTGAGCAATATAGAAAGGACTGGTAATTGGATAGTCATGGAAGCCCCTCCACATTGACCAGAGTGAAATGATAATGTAGCATCCTCTAGGATCCCTAGAAGGAGGTTGAGCTAGTTAGAGAGAATCGTCTGTGTAAAGATTCTGGGGTAGTAACTTTATTTCAGAACACACACATGTAACACTAAGTAAAGAAAAGGAGGCCATGGATTTGAAAGAGAGCAAGGGGGGTGGTACACAGGAGGGCTCTCAGAGAGGAAAGGGGAGGGGGAAATGACACAGTTATAATATCACAAATAAAACGATTAAAAGTAAGAAGATTATAGGGTGGGTGAGAGGGTTTGTCTAGGATCCAGTCAGGCTACGCAGACCGAATCAGCAGTAAGGAACAGAGTGGTAGCAGATGTGAAGAGGGGCCTGAACTGGAGAAGCCAGTGCGGCCTGGCATTGTTGTGCCTTCGATTTGGAAGAGACTTTGAGCTTTTCTAATTCCAACCATTCTGAGACCAACATTGTCACCTCATGCTTAGTGGACCGTGTGCTCTCTATTAAGGGGGTGGGAGAGACGGCTCATCAGTTAAGAGTGCTGGCTGCCCTTCCAGATGACACAGGTTCACTTCCAGCACCCGAGTGGCAGCTCACAACCATCTCTAATTCCAGTTCCGGGGGATCTGATGCCCTCTTCTGGTCTCCATAGGCATTGCATGCATATGTTACAGAGACATACATCATAGAGGCAAAACATCCATACACATAAAATAAAAATAAATAAAATCTCAAAATATGTGTTCGTACATGTGCACATTGAGGAAACTGGCTGATAATTTTTAAAAACGTTTGTGATCTGCTAATGTGGTCTAATCCACACATTTAACGATGAAGTTCGGCCGAAACGGACTTAAAGGCAGTATGTCTTCTGCTCATTGTAGCATTCCCACTTGCTTGTGTCGGAATGTGGTGTGCACATCTGTATGTATGCACATCTGTATGTATGCTCCGCTGACCCCATGCTGAATTAGCTCTGGTTTCTCAATGAAGGGAAGGACTTAAGATCCTTAGTCAGCCCTAAGTAAACAATAATACATCCAAGCAATGCTAAATGGACTCAGCATGTTGCATTTGTATATTTATTTATATGTGTGTGTGTATGTGTATAACCATAATTAAAAATAGACCGTGAATTTGAAGGGTGGAGTATGGGAGCGATTAGGGAGGGGGGAGGGAGGGGAGTTATGTAATTACTTTGTATTGATTTTTTAAGAAAGCAGCTTTGGTCGGTGCTGTACCAGCAGATGCCCATCAGTTGTTCTACCACCCTCTTCTCTCCTCTTCAGTTCCCTTTTTAATCCTCTTTTACTCTTTAATACCCTATTTCTATAGGTAAGAAAGATAGCCAAGAGAAAAGATGAGAGAGAGAGAGAGGACTAGACATCAGAAACCCAGGAGAGAAAACGGAGACACTTCTGCATCTGAGAAAGAAACAGAGGTGTCTGCCCCTGCCGGTCACCCCTGCCCTCTCCAAGAGCCCTCTGCCCTTTCTAGGCACGAGGCTCCAGGGAGGGCAGCACTGGTAGAGGTCCTTTCATTTCCAGCCACGTGCCTTGGGGACTTCCCTGTGCATTCATTCTGTCTCCTGGATCTCTGGGGGGCTGAGAAGAGCTCTGTAACCAGGCTACTCCTAGTGTCTGCGTGTCCCAGTTGACTCATGGAACTCTTTGCTTAGAAGACTATCCTAATCACTGTCTCTGTGTATAATAGCTAAATTCTTGTGAGTACAAATTTTAAAAATCCACATCTTAAAGAGGTTTAATTAGCCGGCAGCGGTGGTGGCGCATGCCTTTAATCCCAGCACTCGGGAGGCAGAGGCAGGAGGATCTCTGTGAGTTTGAGGCCAGCCTGGGCTACAGAGAGAGTTCCAGGAAAGGTGCAAAGCTACTCGAGGAAAAAAAAAAAAAAAAGATTTAATTAAAAGTTACATAACTTTAGAGACCTTTCAAGGAGCTTGATGAGATTAATAGAAGAGCCGAAAAAATTATTGTATATACACACACACAGGTACTCTAGACTAAATCTTTTTATTTATTTCACGAGGAAGTTATTCTTGAAATAGCTAGTAGGCTTTTTTAAAATTGTTTTCTTCTCGTATCTTTGGTTTAGGTATTAGGAGGCAGGTGAAGAGAACTGACTGTCATTCACCTTCTGTGACAGTGGATGTTTGAACCCGATAATTTTATCAGTGGCTAAAAAACAAGGCTTCACATGTGCTTGAGGATGGCCTGGGAAAAAGACAAAAAGTTCAGATTAGGTCCTTTTTAATGTGAGGGATTAGAAATTGTTGACCCGACCTGGCATGAAGAGGATATATTCAAACCAAAAGACAACCACTTTAACCTAGGAATCGGAATGGGAGGGAAGCCTGTTGCCTTCATAGTTACTGTCATGGACTGTTGAAGGCTGCGCTGTGTTTATAGCTCTTCTTGTAATACTGTCCTGGGGCCCTGTGTGGTGACACACGCCTTTAATTCCAGTAGTAAGGAGACTGAGGCAGCAAATCTCTGTAAGTTCCAAGCTAGCCTGGTTTACAGAGTGAGTTCCAGGACAGTCAGGGCTGTTACACAGAGAAACGCTGCCTCAGAAAAACAAAACAAAACAAAACAAAAAACCAACCAAACAAAAACCCAAGAATTTCCTGAGGTTTGTGAACCCTCATGGTGACTCAGCTCCACGGTGACAAGGCCTGGGTTGAAGGTTTTTTGGTGTTTTTTATCTTAGAGCTCTGTATTCTTTCTAATGCGCCATAGTCAGGGCCAAGATGTTTAACTTCTTTTTTTTTTCTTTAATTCTAGGGAATGACTCTTCAGCTTTCACGTAGCTGTACAAAGACACTTTAACTTTGGTTTTGAAAACCTTCATTTTCTAGAAGATAGGAGTGACATCCACACAGGCTTTTTGTTTTGTTTTGTTTTTGTTTTTGTACAAAAAGTCATGGTTCACATGGTGCCGTTTGACTAGGTACTTTGCAAATTTAGGATTTAGCTCAGGATTAAATTGATGAGGGTACCAGCTATGGTGACACGTAACCATAGTGAACACCAGGTGGCGCTCCTCCATCACTGGATGTTGTCCTTTTTGGCTCATCTTCAGTGTTTATTAATTTTAGTCATATTGGTGTGCCATTCAGATGCCATCCTTGTAGAAATCAGGAGTGCACACCACCACAGATTGTCTCGTAAAGTGAAAGAGAAACTTTTTCTTCCCAAATAAAAGAAAAATATAAATAATGAAATCTGTTGGATTAAACTTGAAAATGGCATTTTTGAAATTTGTTTTGCTACCAAAATGTTGTTTGACTTACTGAAAAATAAGTAAGCCTTTAATATAAAATAATTTCTGAGTTATGTGAGATAATGTAGGCAAATGCATGGAAGAAAATACTATCCTAATACATACCTCTTCGGTAGACTCTGATAA